GGCTGCTCTAATTGGAGTCATCGTCCTCAAGGCCTGGTGGGCCAGGATGTGCTCCAGTCTCTCCTCCTCCCCCTTCATCTGCTCCCGTGTGCTCCGATCAGATATGTCCCTCTCCCGGTGCTGTGGATTCAGTGCTGTCCTTTGAAATAAATTCTTCTAGGGGGAGAGGCAGGCATCCACTTAGTATTTGGGACTGGGGCCAGCCCCGTATTCTTTTTGCCATCCTAACTTTCATCAATTTGAACTGTGTGAGGCACTTGTTATTTTTATGGATTTCTTTTGTTTCTATTGTCAAATTTGTATCCTTTTGGGAAAAGATGATTGTAGAGCTTATCTAAAATTCATTATATTATTTTCAATTTTATTTAAAATAATAATAATCCACCTTATGCACAATGCATTTAATTTTTTCCATATGCATTAGCCTATCCGATCCTCACAAAAGCCCTAAGTAGTAAATATGTTGGCAGCATTTTGTTTCCTTTGCTTTATCCATATTTATGTTTTTAATTATATTTTACTCAGGCTATTTTAAGATTAGTTTACAGTTGTTGAGTGTACAGCTACCGGTATTTCAAGACCAGGCTTAGAAATACAGTGCTGGGCAAGTCAGTTTATTGTTTTAAATCCATCCACAAGTCATTAATTCATAGTATTCTATTAGTGGGTAATTAAACACTTCAGTCCTTTCACAAGAACTGGCATAAAAATAATTTTCATTGAATAAAGAGCTAATCTAAAACATGTTACTTGAAGTTCCATAATAAATTTTTAGTTACTTTATATCTACCATCAAGTACAAACACCTGTGAAAATTGGAACCTGTATATGGTAGAAATCTGTCAGAAGAGGAAAACTCAGATATTTTTCTTGAGAAGAAGCAAAATGAGAGGATCCCACCATGTCAAAGATAGGTGACTGTAAAACCTGGAATAACAACACATTCCCTTAGGGTTCCAGATCTGACAAGTTTCTATGTATCTTGAAATGATGACCAAATGTTAAAATCATAATTTGTCCTTTTTTCTCTAGAAAATACTGCTTCAAACAAAAGTCTTCTAATTGTTATTGACACAAATATTTTAATGAATCATCTCAGATTTGTAAGGATGTTGAAGACAACAGAAATACCAGGTATTTATAAAATATATTGGTTTTTCTCACTTGAGCTGATATTTCATATTAACAGTACTGTAGTATTCACATTGGGATATGCTATCAAGTAAATATAGGTTAAACAACATCTGCTTAAGTAAGATAATAGTCTCCACAGTTTAACCTAGCAGTCTTAATCTGCTCTCCTCTGACTTCCAATAATATTTATTTTGATAATCGTTTGGCACTTATCCTATTTTTAACTTTCACACTTTTTCTGTAGTGGCTCACTTAACAGAATTCTATAGAACTGGGTGGGCGGGCACGGCGGGACCCTAGAAGGGAGATGAAATGGCCTGGGCTATAGCGAGGAGCAGGGAGCGCCCTGGAGCTCGAGGCCGGGAGAAGGGCAGCCCTGTGCGTGCCCCCTACCACCCACGTGTTGGAGGTGATCCACGTGGGCTGAGCCAAGGCAGCGACGAGGACGAGGGCTCAGTTCCCCAAACTCGCAGGGCTTGCCCATCTCTGTCTCCCTGTGATGTAGGGAAAATCTCGCAAAGGCCTCAGGTTTCCCACTGCCGACGGGGGCATCCAGTCGCTCCCTACTTGTACAGTAAGCTCTGGCTTCAGAGGAGCCTCGCCTCCAGCGTCCTCCGCTGTGGCAAGAAGAAACTGGTTGGACCCCAAGGAGACCAATGAAATGGCCAATGCCAACTCCCGTCAGCACATCCGGAAACTGATCAAAGAGGGCCTTATCCGCAAGCCTGTGACCGTCCATTCTCGACCGGGTGCCGCAAACACACTAGCCCGCTGCAAGGGCAGGCTTATGGGCACAGGTGAGCGAAAGGCTGCTGCCAGTGCTCGCATGCCTGAGAAGGTCACGTGGATGAGGAGGATGAGGATTCTGCGCCGGCTACTCAGGAGACACTGGAGGTCCAAGAAGACTGACCACTATATGTATCACAGCTTGTCCCTGAAGGGGAAGAACAAGTGGATTCTCATGGAGCAGCACATCCGCAAGCTGAAGCAGACGGGCTTGCAAGAAGCTCCTGGCTGACCAGGCTGAGGCCCGCAGGTCTAAGACCAAGTAAGTACTCAAGACCCTGAGGAGCGACTCCAGGCCAAGAAAGGAGCTCATCAAGATGCTGTCCAAGGAGGATGAAACCTGGAAATAAACTCCCCCTCTCTTCTCTGTATAGTGGCCTGGGCAGTTCTATTGATAGTCACTCAATAAAAGCAAGCCTTGTTGGCCTGTCCCTGAAAAAAAAAAAAAGAATTCTGTAGTGTGATTTTTTTTTTTTTAACCATAAGGGCTGTGTTCTTTAAAACTTTAAGTTTTCTTAACAGATTTAGTAGCTCAAGAAATATTGGTTGACTTCTGAGAGAGCTTTTCTGTTTTCAGGCTTTGACAGATTGGTGTTGATCATTCCCTGGGTGGTTGTGCAAGAACTGGACCGCATGAAAGCAGGAAAACTGCTGAAACATGTCCAGCATAAAGCCATCCCTGCAGTTCATTTCATCAATGACAGTCTCAAAAGTCCAGACAGAAAGCTATGGGGTCAATCAATACAACTTGCATCTCAAAAGTTTTGTAAGTATTGTTCTCTCAGAGCGCGTTCTGATAAATTAGACCTATCTGAGTGTGATTGATTAATCGAGGACAGCATTGAAAACTGTATAAATTTGTGACAAACATTGGAATCTAAAATAGGGCACAAACTTGGATTGGAGATATCTAGTAGGTTTGGCTTAGGGTTTTGATTTTTATTTCCTTGCTTTTCTACAGTATTTGGAGACTGTATTTCTAATTTGTAGAGCGTGCTTATGTCATTATGTGTACTTGTTTATAGTACAATACTTTGAATTCATGTTTTTAAATGCTTTTGTTGAATAGTGAGGCCTGTAAATGATTACTTGATATGTAATTTACATATCATATACATCAATAGTTCAGCCATATTAAAAAAGAGTTGTACAATCATTCCACCGCCAATTCTAGAACTTTTTCTTGCTTCTTGTACTCATTGTTATTAGCTCCATATTTCCCTCCAAAGTCTGCTCCCAGACCCCTATAGGCCATTAATCCAGGTGTTATCTTTATAGATTTACTTATCCTGGATTTTATAACCTGGAAAAAACACACAGCCAAACAAAACAAAAAAGTCCAAGCACAACAACCTCCAAACAATAACAATTAGTTTCTTATTTGGTAATTTCCAAGCAAATTGTTGATTGATATTAGTTGTATTTACCACAATGTATCAACATTCTTTTAAATTATATTCCCGTTCCAGTACAGGTATCCCTTATCTTACCGTGCTTCCCAGATTACTATAGCTTTACAAACTGAAGTTTTGTGGCTGCCCTGTGGTTTAAAAAAAAAAAAAAATTTAATGAAATACTTTTATTGGGGGTTCTTACATCTCTTATCACAATCCCTACATTCATCCATTATGTCAAGCACATTTGCACATATGCTGCCATCATCATTTTCAAAGCATTCTCTTCCTACTTGAGCCCTTGATAGCAACTTCCCGTCTCTTCCCCCTCCCTCCCCTGCCCGCCCTCCCTGATGAACCCTTGATGAGTTACAGATTATTATTTTCATATCTTACATCATCCTCCATCGCCCCTTACCCACTTTTCTGTTGTGCGTCCCTGAGAGAGGTTTATAGGTTGATCGTTGTCGATTCCCCCTTTCTCCCCTCTACCCTCCCCTAATCCTCCTGGTATCTCTACTCTCATTGTTGGCCCTGTGGGGTTTATCTAGCCTGGATTCCTTGTGTTGCAGGCTATTGTCTGTAGCAGTGTGCATGTTCTGGTCTAATCTGATTTGTAAGGTAGAAGTGAGGTCATGATAGCAGGGGGGGGCGGAACACCAAAGAATCAGAGGAATGTTGTGTGTTTCATCGGTGCTGTACTACACCCTGACTGGCTCATATCTTCCCTGTGATCCCTCTGTAGGGGGATGTCAAATTGTCTACAGATGGGCATTAGGTCTCTACCCCATGCCCCCACCTGCCTGCCCCCACCCATTCACCTTGGGTTTGATTTTGTTCTGGGTCTTAGATGCCTGGAACCTGTTCCCATCAACACCTCATGATCACACAGGCTGGTGTGCTTCTCTCATGTGGACTTTGTTGCTTCTGAGCTAGATGGCCTCTTGTTTATTTTCAAGCCTTTAAGACCCCAGACATAATATCTTTTGATAGTTGGGCACCATCAGCTTTCTTCACCGCATTTACTTATGCATCCATTTTGTCTTCTGGGATTGTGCCAGGTCAGGTAGGTGAGCATCACAGAAGGCCAGATGTTTAGAACAAAGTGTTCTTGTGTTGAGGGAGTACTTGAGTTGAGGCCCACTGTCCATCTGCAGGCTTAATTCATAACATACAGATATTAATGCATAGTTCTCTTCCCCTTTCGTTATGTATACATTTACATCTGTACGTGCCTGTATTTAGGTCTATAAATGTCCTTTGCCTTCTGGTTCTTTCCTCTATTTCTTTTTACTTTACTCTTGTCCCACCGTTATGTTTGGCCTTCGTTCTGGTTTAGTAATTCCTCGTTGCCACATTCCCCTTTATTAAGCCCCATAGACATCCTACACCCTTCTCTCCATTGATTTTAGTTTACTTGTTGTTCCCTTGTCCCAGGGTTGGTTCTCCCACCCCTTCCTTTCTTCCATCTTCCCTTCTCCCATATCCCTTTATAACCATTGGAGCCTTTCTTTTCATCTCCAAATTATTTATCCCTCCTATCTTATCTAGATAGACAAGCAGATACATTAAAAAGCGCAAAAACATGGCAAAGCCAAAAACAACAAAGGAAATCAAGACCAACAAAACAATAAAAACAACAGAAAGCAAAAACAAAATAATAGCAAAAAGAAACCACTGACAAAAATGGAAAGCCTTCAGTGATCCGTTCGACACCTTGTGATCACACAGGCTGATATGTTGTTCCATGTGGGCTTTGTTGCTTCTGAGCTAGATGGCC